AAAACTGAGGCCCAGCTAAGTCACCGGCTAAGACGCGGCAGAAGCTGCGTTTGCTCCCGTGGTCTGCGTTCTGAACCACTTTGTGACCAGCATCCAGCTCGAGCTTGCGGACGGGCCGGGTTGGGGTCTCGGCCTCGGTGTTACTGACACCTCGGGGCCGTCTCGGTGGGGGTGTACTGCGCTTTGTTGAGCAGCATCACTGGCCTCTCCCCACTAGGTGCCAGGAGCACTTGCCCCTCGGGGCGTGACAACCACAAACGTCTCCAGACATTGCCAACTGTTCCCCGGGGGAAGGGGAGGCAAGATTGGCCTGGCGGAGAGCCGCTGGGCGAGGGTTTGGCTGATGCTGGGCGGGACGCCCAAGAACAGCCAGGTGTGTCCAGGACGGAGACCTGGGTGCGGCCCGCGGGAAAAGAAATGCCGGAAGGCCACATGGCAGAGGCTGTGGGGTCAGCAGATAATGAGTAATTTGGGGGCTGCTTTAGTGGAAATAACTGGACCTTCCAGAGTCCTTCCTGATAACACCAGAGACGGGCGTTAGGGCTGAATTTGGGGTATGGACTAGGACGGTTAGTCAGGAAAGAGGGGCTGGGTTAGGTTAGGTTTCCTAGGCTTGTGGGTGGGAGACAGGTCACACAGCGAGAAGCGGGGGCGGGGCAGTGGGGGGAAAGGCCTGGGGCTTCCCATCAAATCACGTATTGTTTGCTTCAGTTCATTTTGGGATAGTCTGGTTTTATGACGGAGTTTCTAGAAAACAACGTCAATCCTTCCAGTTAAGAACTGTCTTCAGGGAGAAAACCCTACCCTATTTGGTTTGCTTCTAGAACCACAAGGATGGTTCTGATGGGGTTTAGGTCACGTCAGAAGCAGCCAGAGAGCTGGCCGCAGCCCCTGTGGACCTCTGTGGCCCGTCAGGGCAGCTGATAGTGACAGCGGTCACAGAGATAGATGTTCGGGGCTAGCACCTTACATACGGTATTTTCTCTGAGTTGATCCAAAGACCCTGAGCGGTTGGTATTAAAATTTTCACGGAGTCTCAGAGGGGGCAAGGCCCGCCCAGGGGACGCCAGGGGCCCAGGCAGAAGCCAGGGGTCCAAACTTGGGAGGGGGAGGGGCGCAGAGAACAGAGGACACACTTACCTGAGGCCCCCTGATCTCTGGCCTGACCCTGGTCAGGGGTCCCCTTCCCACAGAGCCATCCCGCCCCTCCTTCCCGTTTCCAGAACCCCTGGGCCCTGGGGGGCACTCACTGCATGGCTGGCTCTGGGGGGCTCTCTCAGCACCCATGGCCTTTCCGGTTAGCCCGGCACAGAAGTCATCGTCGGGTGGGCGCAGAACCGGGGTGAACGGTGATGGCTTTGTCCTTGTTAAGCCAGAGATGCCAGGGTCCTGGTGTGGGGTCAGAGCGGTTGGGAGGCAGTGGAGGGCAGGACCTCCCTTCTCGAAAGCTTTTTGTGGAAGATTTCAAACACATGTCACAACAGAGAGGCAGGATGACGAACCCGAGTGCATTCATCGCCTAGTTGCTCATCTTGTTTCATTCACTTTTTTTCCCTCCCCCACTGGATTAATTTAGACCAAATCCCAGACATGTTATTACTTTGTAGGTAAATACTTCAGGATGTTTTTCTAAAACAGGGGTCAGCAAACTTTTTCTGTAAATATTTGAGTCTTATGGCAACTAGACTTTTGGTGGTGAACATAGTACAGACTATAGTGAAGTCGAAATATAATGACATACGCCTCAAATTTGTTGTAAACCAATGTTAGCTCTAAAAGGAAAAACCCTGAAGCTTTTTGGGCCATACGGTCCTCCTCTCCCACTCGACTCTGCCCTACGAGCAGCCACAACGTGGCCAGGAACGGGCGTGGCTGCGTCCCAATAAAACTTTATTAACAAAAACAGGAAATGGGGCCGTAGTTTGCCAACCCCTGCTCTAAAAGATAACAACTTATTTGGTTTTTAAAAAATAAAACGATGATGCCATATTATCGCATTAAAAATGGCATTGAATCAATGTCCACATTTCCCTGATCGTCTCAGAATTTCTTTTTAACAGTTGGTTGGTTTGAATCAAGATTCAAATAAGAGCCCACGCTGTGTTTGCGTGATATTGAGTGTCTTCATCAATCGGTGTCACTTTTGGGTCAGAGGACTTGGGGTCTGTGTCCTAAGAACCAGGGGGTCTCATGTGACTCCATGGCACCCGGCTGGGCCTGAACCTGGCGGAGCAGCAGCCCGGGTCTGGCTTCTGCCTCGGGGAAATCTTCGGAGGCCGTGGGGTGAGCCAGGATGCTCTCTGGAGGGGAGGTGTGTGTGTGGTGGGGGGGGTCTCCAGGTGAATCACTGGTGTTTGAAGTGATTCACCTGGAGACCCGGGTGTGTGGGACACTTCAGCCGTGGAACAGGCACAGGGACAGCCTGGGACAGTTAAGTCCAGTTGGGGGCTGGCTGGTGCCCAGAAGCAGAGCTGGCTTCTGAGTGAGGGGTCTCGTTCCTGGGAAGTTCTGCAGAGCGCCACTGTCCTGAGGGTCTGAGGGCAGACTTTCATGGCACCCAGACAATACTGAAGTTGACTGAACACTTGGGAGCAGTGGCGTCTGGAGCTGGCTCCTCCAGGTTCACCAGAGCCCAATGTTTCATTTCCAGGATCTTTTTTTGGTTTGCTTTGCAAGCCCTTATTAAAAAATTATAAATATGTACGGTTTTTATTAAAAACAGTAAATACTCAAAACATCACTTCCTCATTATTTGATTGCATCGTACGATTATATTTACTCTCTTTTTGCTGAGGAAGACTGGCTCTGAGCTAACATCCGTGCCCATCTTCCTCTACTTTATATGTGGGACGACTGCCACAGCATGGCTTGAATTAATTGTATCTGTCTAGTGTGTGCCAGTTCCCCAAATTTGTGTTCAGTGACTTCACGTTGGTGGCTTGCAATCAGCCAGGGTGGGAGGATTTACACCAGGGAAATGGGCCTCCGCTGCCAATCAGGCCTTCCCCCACCACGGAGAGCCGGCTTTTAAAGTCACCAGCACACGGCTGAGGGGGAATCATTTGTTCAGCCTCCCCTGGGAGATCAAGGCTGCTCTTGCTCTGGGAATCTCTGTTGCAAAGACCTGATTCTTTGGACGCCAAGCTGGCACTTGAAGTAGGGACACCACCCTGGGGAAGGGGGCTGTGCCATTGGGGAGGCAGTCATCTGAGGGTTTCTTTGCAATTAAAAGAAACCCATCACCCTAAGTCCGAGTGCCACTCTTCTCCCTAAACAGGGAGGACAAATGCAGTAACAGCTCACTGAGGAGAGATTCACCTTTAAAAGCCTCTGATGCCAAATTTAGTCACCACATTTGCTGTCTTCATATTAATTAATGAGGAGGAAGTTAAGCAGAGGCCATGTGTCTGGACGGGCAGGGAGGCGCATCTGTGTGTTTTCTTCCTGGAAAGGGAAACTGTAATTACAAGGAAGCCATCAGCAGCAGGGTGACACCCAGTCAGCTGCTGGTCCTGTCGCAACCTTGGGGACCCCTCCCTGGCTCCCTCAGGAAGCCCGTTCAGGCCATTTCCCCCACAGTGGCAGAGCCCTGCAGCCATTCCAGCCACATGGCCAGCACCTGACTTCTTATAGCCACGTGCCACTTAACGACGGGGCAGATGCATGCTGAGGAACGCGTCGTTGGACGACTTCGTCGTTAGGCGACCATCATAGTGTACACAAACCCAGGTGGTATATCCCACTGCACCCCTAGGCTCTACGGTGCTAATTTTATGGGACCACTGTCTATATGTGGCGCGTCATTGATTGAAACGTCGTTATGTGGCACACGACTGTAATTGCTTGTGTTGTTCAAAGTGGACAGCCCAAGGTCCCTTAGGGTTTGGGGAAAAAAATATTAGAACTTCACTTTTTTATTTTGAAAAATACAGCTGGCAAGAAAGCAATTAAGCTTTACCAATGTTCAAGATGCAACATAACAGGTGTATTATATACACTGGAAACGTGTGCTCAAAAACACTTTCCTTACCCCCATTGTGTGAGACAGCGACCTCCTTGTGAGCAGAGAAACAGTATTTTCATAACCCCAAGGCCAGATCAGGATCTGGTATGCAGCAGGTGCTCCAAAAAGGACGTTGAATGAATAAATGTTGGTAAAATACAAAGCAGGGGGACTCGAGGCCACCCCATCCCTCCTCCCTCTAGGTGGAGGGGTCTGATACGGGTCAGGGATGAAGGCCCACAGATTGCACAAAAGGGCCACTGTCGTGGGGGTGAAGCTTTCAAAGAGAAGCCACTGGAGTAGCTGGGTCTCCGTCCTCCGGCTCATTCCCCTCCCTCTTCCAAGGCTTCCACTTGGACACCTGTCCTTGAAAGCCCCAGAAGGTCCAGGGAAATAAGGGCTCATGATCATGACTCTGGGAAGGCTTGGGAAACCGGGCCACACACCTGCGGGAAGCAGCTTTGGGCACCTGTTAGCCACAATCGGGGGCCCCGCTTGGCATGACACAGGCTGAGGGAGGCTCAGGGGCCCCCACAGGAGCAAGATCAAGTGCATGGCATCACTCACGCCTATGGGAACTGGGGACAAAGGCAAACTTTCAGTCTATCTGGAAATCACCTGATACAAATCCGTACCCCAGCTTTACCTGTTTTCCACTGCGGAAGCACAGCCGGAAGCCTCGAGCTCGCCCCGGCAAGAGAGAGAGGAAGGCCGCTGATGACACCCGTGGCCACCGAGCTACTGCCTTGGGGCTGGTGACTGATGACATGACATTTACATGTATTCTAAGACATACCGGAACGTCATGTATAACAGGTTCCTTCCCCCGTGCAACCCAGCACTTGCGTGTGTACGTATGTATGCGTGCCTAAACAACGTGTTGTTTAATTTTGCTTGTTTCTGAGTTCCAGAAACAGCATCCCACTCGACTCAGTCTTCTGGAATCTGCTCTTTTTACCCAACCTCCTCCTTCTAAGTTACCCACATTAAGAGCAGCTTTTCAGTTCTGCAATACATTTTATTGAGAAAAGCAACACACAATCACAGGTATTTCAGAGAGTCCAGCAAAGTGTACAGACAAATACAAGATTCCTGGGATGTAACTGGTTGGCTTCTGCCTCTGGACACACGACCATCACCCTGGGACTGACTGGGTTTGCTCCGGCACTGGGAGGCTCAGAACCAAGTCTGTGGCTGCTTCTGCCACCCGCGGCCAATTCAGCAGGCATTCTGTGGATTAACAATTATGCTGGGTTTCATCTCCATTGCTCGTTCACACGATAAATAGGACAGAGATTGTGCTAAAGACACCAAGCTAACGAGAAACAGTCCCTGCCCACAGGGGCTCACAATCTAACCCGTCAGCACAATGCAGCACGGCAAGCGTTACCAAAGGCGCGAGCTCAGGGTAGTGTGGGGCCCGCAGGACGGCCGCCTGACCCAGCCGAGAGGGCTTCCTGGAAGAGGTGAGGCCTAAGATAAGGAGACCCGGGGACGAAGAGGTGTGCCAGCCAGGCAAGTGAAGGCCTCCTGGCTAGAGTCTGACCCTTTGTCAACGCCTCGTTCAAGTCCCTCAGCTGACCCATCTTTCCTCCTCTGAAATTCCCCATCTCACTATCTGTTCTCTTCACAAGTCACTTCTTCGCCCTGGTGGTTGATTTCCACACGTGCACATCTTGTACTCATCCCAGGCTGCTGTCTCCTCGAGGACAGAGTCGTCTAACCTCAGTCTCTCCTCACTGCACCTGTGACTATGGTTGGACAGTGTGGCCACTTGGCGAACGCCGGCTGGGAGACAGGTGGTTGGCTCCCAGGTGGACCAGCCCTTCCCCAGCGCGGGGCTGGAGCGAGGAGGATGAGCTGGGTGGTCGTGGCAGTGGGCGGTTTCACCAGGTGAAAAAGGGCTCAGGATACACACAAGATACACATGGAAGCCACGTCTATGAGGCTGCTGACAGGACCAGAGCACCTAGAATACTTTCTATTTGCTAACACGAAAAGTCAAACCACAAAACAGTTCTCTCAACAGCACAACTGTTTGAAAGAAACAAACACACAGTCAAGTATTTCATCGCAACCAAAAACTAGACAATAGCTGCACCTTGGCCCCGGTGGACACCCCGGGGAGCCGAGGGCCCCGAGCCGCCAGGCTCAGTCGAAGGTGATGCGGAAGCTGCGCTCCTGCTCCTTGCGCCGGCCCTCGCACACCTTGGTCACCTCCTCCACCTTCCTCTGCAGCAGGGCCGAGTTCTGGTCGATCCACTGCAGCGAGTCCATGTGCGCGTTGAGGATCTTGCAGATCTGCTGCAGCGGGTCGCTGGTGTCGGCGGGGCCTCCGGACGTGTTCAGGTGCTCGATGATGTCCTTGAGGTCCTGGGCCATGCGCTTCAGCTGCGCGTCGATGTTCTCGGCCAGCTTGTAGGTCTTCTCGCGCTCCTCGTCGGCGTGCTGCAGGTACACGGTCCCGCTCTGCTCCTTCACCGACTCCTCCAGCGGGCTCAGCAGGTCTTCCAGCTCCTTCTGCTGAGACAGGATGAAGTCGAGCTCTTGGTCCAGCCTCTTCTGGTCCAGTTTCACCTTCTCCACCTCGCGGTGAAGGCTGGTGATCTTCTCCCCGTTCTCGATCAGCGTGCGGTCCCAGGCGTTGACCTGGGTGGCCTGCTGCAGGAAGTGCCGCTCCTGGTCCTCCAGCTCCAGGCTCCACTTGTTGATGAGACTCTCCAGCTGGGCGTAGGTCATCACGGGACTGGCGGAGACCCCAGCAGGTGCAATGGGGCCAGGCGCAGCGGTCACGGTGGCCGACGTGTTGCTGGGGATCCCGGCTGGCGCCAGCGGTTTAAGATTCAAGGCAAAGCTGCTGGTGGTGGTGGTGGCGGCGGTGGATGCTGCCGTGGAGGTGGCAGAAACTGCTCCAGGGGCCTTTAAGCTGAAGCCCAGCGCTCCAGCCCCGGAAGCTCCAGCTGTGGTTGCGGGGGCACAGAGGGCGAGGCCAGTGGTGGTGGACGAAGTTGGAGCCGTTGCTAGTGAGGCAAAGAGCGTGGGCCCCGCACTGGTGGTGGTAGCCGTGGGTGCGGGAGCAGCTGGCTGTGTGGCTCCCGCTCCCGTGGCTGCCAGAGTGGCCGGAGTGAACGGCAACCCGGCAAGTGCTGTGGGCTGGGCCGAACTCGCCATTGAGCCAATATTAAAACCGGAGGCCCCGGTCTGGGACGTGCTTCCACTGGTGAATGAGAACCCCCCGGGGGTGGTGGATGGAGCGGCAGAGGTGGTGGTGGTGGAGCCGAACACAAAGCCGCTGGGGGTCGTGCCCTGGCTGGAGGTGACGGTGCTCGAGATGGTGTTGGTGAGGGTGCTGCTGCCCAGCCCGAAGCCGCCGGGCTGTGCCGCGGCCGGGGTGGCAGCTGCGTTGCTCAAGTTGAGCTTTGGAGTGTTGATCCCCAAGGAAAAGCCGGATCCTCCTGCGGCAGGAGTGGTGGTTCCAAAACTGAATCCCGTGGTCTGTGTCGCCGGGGCCTGGGTGGTGAGTGAGAAGAGGCCAGTAGCAGGGGCACTCGCAGCTGGCTGGGTGGGAGCCCCAAAATTAAACCCGCCACTGCCAGACGTCGAGAAAGAAAACCCAGTGGCAGGTGTGGTTGTTGCTGTCTTTGCCGTGCCAAATGTGAACCCGCCTGTGGGGGCCCCAGTGCCTCCGAAATTAAACCCGCTCATGGCTCCAGATCTGGTGGCAGCAGCTACTCCAGCTTCCAGAGCAAATCCGTTGACGTCTGCAACCTTGGAAAGATTTTTAAAGCAAGGGAAGTGACATGATCAGATGGCAGTTTGGGAAAGGCAACCTCAGTAGCACGATGGAGCTCGGGTCAGAGGGTGGCAGGCCTGGATGATTATAATGTGCGGCCACCCCTCCTCCTCTTGCTGTGCAACCTAACCAGGCCCTGCTAAACTAGGAAAGAAGGATCGGGAAGCAAAAGCCCATGCCCTGGGGGTTCAGGCACTAGGAGCCTGATGTGCTTGAGGTGTGCACGGCCACGGTCCCGCACAAGCGGGCACCCCCGCCGCCAAGAAGGAGAAGGCCGCTGGGCAGGCACCGAACCGACCTCAGCCCGAGGAGGGGGTCAGATTCGAGGTGCTTCCAGTGAGTGGGACTAGGGCACCAAGCAACCCCTTCAGGACCTGCTCCCCAGGTTTCCCTGCTGACTGAAGCAGGGGCTGAGGGCCGCCCTGAGCGCCTTTCTGGACCTCATGGAGAGAGACGGGCCCGGAAAGCTGAGCGGGACGGCGGGGCCGTGTGCACCAAAGGCCCCGTCCATGCACACCCTCCACTATTTAGAGGGACGCAGAGCACTCTGGAGCGTCCGGTTGTCCCTTGCCCTCCCAGCTTCTAAGTCAGGGTGGGCACGAGACCTAAGTGCTGTGCCCCTGGCCGCAGTGACTGATTCAAGGAGACACTGAGACCCTAGCTGGCTGACCAGAGACTTCCCTGGGATTTCTCTCCAGGCACAGGGCACAGAGGATGTGCACCTGGGGCGGCCCCCATCTTCTCAGCCACCTGCAGTGGGGATGATGAGCTGCCACCAGAGAGCGCGAGGGGAGAGAGGGAGAGAGGGAAGGAGACAGAGACAGAGAAACTCCCGGATGGACCCAGTCATGTTATGGCCCCAACTCCCTCTTCAGAAGCTCCAGAGCTGGCACGTTCCTGTTTAGTTTGAGCCGACTCGATTTCTGTCATTTCTGACTGAAAAGGCCCCAAGCAGAGCCACCTGTTTGCTGCAGAGTCAGAGGCTCCTGGGCGAGGAAAGGTCAGAGGGCATGATGGATGGAGGCGCTTTTAGGTAAAGGGTCAGACACCGAGCCTCGACTGTGGGCGCGATGCCGTCTGCCCACGGCCACTAACTCTCAGTACCGACTGGAGGCAGGAGTGCTGTCCCCGCGTCACAGATGAGGAAAGTGGGGCTCAGAGGGCTTCGGTGACATACCCCGGGTTACCCAGCAGGCAAGGGGTGGAGCCAGGAGCTGAGGCCAGGCCTCAGGCCTGCTCACCGACTTCCACTGGCCTGATCCACCAACCCCCTCACCCAGCACGGCACCGGTGACAGGGCATTTCCCTGCACCCAAGGAGGGATCGATCAGCTACTAGATATGAGGGGAGACCTGCGTTACGCCCACTGATACTGTCTCTACCGATACACAAGAAATGTGCGAAACGACCAGAAAGGGCGCAAAGCAGAATGCAAATTGACCAGTGCAGCGTGATCTCACGGTGGAAAAACAGAAGTCTGCAGAAAGGGCTGGGAGGAAGCCAGCAGAAGGAGGCCAGGGGCTGTCTGTGGGTGGTGGGTCTACGGGGTGACCGTCTCCTTTCTAATTTGCAGTAGTTTGCAAATGTTCCTTCTGTTCGCATAATGGAGAAACATAACGCTAAGCTTGGTTTTGGAGAGAGACCCAAATTATGCGGAGTGAATTCAACCTGAATTCACAGGTTTAACACAGCCAGGTTTTAAAAACACAACGCGAGTGGCACAGATTGAGTTACTGAATTAACAAGCGTCCCCGGGGCTGGCTCTCCATCAGCCCTTGTCTTACCTTAAAGGTGACGGGGGGTGGGGACCACAGGCTGGGCTGCAGGCAGCAGGGGAACGCGTCCCTGGATCTAACAGCGCGTCCCTGGATCTAACAGCGCATTGGGCCTGGAGCCGTGTCTGAAGAGCTGTCTTTCCTGACTTTCTCGGGCGGCGGCGGGGGGGCCCTAAATGGTTTCCAGGGGAGCTGGTGTGGGAGGTCACACCAAAGACGCCCCCATCCTCACTCCTGGAACCTGTGAGTATGCTACCGTACATGGCAAAAGGAATTTTCAGATATGACTCATTTAAGGGTTTGAGGCGGGGAGATGACCTGGGTTAAACGGTGGCCCTCAGTGTCATCGCGGGTGCCCTTGTGAAGTGGAGGCCGAGGGATACTGGACTGGAGGACAGGCCACGTGACGACGGAGGCAGAGACCTGAGGGCCACGCTTCCAACTCGGAGCGGGAGGAAGTGGCCACGAGCCAAGGAATGCAGGCGGTGGCTGGAAGCTGGAAAAGGTGAGCAACCAGATTCTCCCCCGAGCTTCCAGAAGGAACCAGCCCTGCCAACACCCCGACTTGAGCCCTGTGGGACTGATTTTGCACTTCTGATCTCCTAAACTGTAAGAATAAATTTTCACTGTTTGCTGCCACTAAGTTTGCGACAATTTGTGAGAGCAGCCAGAAGAAGCGAGTACAGGTGGGAAGCAGAAAGTGACAGAGGTGAGGTGTGACCCCATGACTTCCTGGCGCCCTAGTATCAAACAAGGGACAGCAACCTGAGGTTCGGTCCCCCATGAGGAAAGTGCTGAAGCGCGGCTGACGCCACCAGGGCCCCAGCCGGGGTGCTCGCGGTCACTGCCGCCTGTGCGGGCGCCTGTCTGCACCTCCACTTTGGGGACAGCCTGGGAGCTGGTGAGAAAAGAGAAGGGAGCCCGGGCAGGGCTGTGAAGATGCTCTCGTGAAAAAGACCTGGGGCTGTGGCTGACCTCAAGTTTACTCCGAATTCATGAATGCTCCCGGGTCCTCAGGCTGCACGGTGAGAAGAGCCGATTCCAACCGGGAGACCAGGGTGGTTTCTGGGCTTCAAACCGCGGCCCTGATGGCTGTGTGCCCAGCACGGTGCTCCATCCTCTCTCCTCAGCCAGACCCTCAGCTACCTTCACGACCAACCGTTCGCCCAGGGAGGCCAGGGTGATGACCCCAGTGTACAGAGGCAGAACACAGGCCAAGAAGAGGGAAGCCACATGTCAGTCCTCCTCCCCAGGCCCTGCAAACTCCCTTTATCTCTCCTTCAGCAAACGGGCCCGTCTGGTCACGGGGCAAGCAGGCCTGCCTTGTGCCACGGCCGCTCTTCTGGCCCCAGCTTCCATCCAGCCCCCTCAGGTTCCTATTTTCCTGTTTCCAGGCACCAAGTTAGTTTCCAGACACAAGGAAACAATCTGGGTTTGAAGTCAGCTTCTGCCGCTTACTAGCTGTGGGTCCCTGGGCAAGCTACTCCTGAGCCGCCTCATGCCTCAGTTTCCCCATCTGTAACAAGGACAACGCCCTGCTCCTGTAAAGAATAAACAAGGTCACGACTGAGAAGCCAAGTGCCTGGCCCGGAGAAGGCACCCACGAGTCCTGTTTGCTCCTCCCTATTGCTCTTTGGCCCGTTTTATTTCTTGAAGTGTCCTCATGGAGTCTCCTAGCTTGAGTCGGAGAAACCTCCCCAAGGTCCACTGCGCCCTCTGCCTTCCCCGCAGACCCCCATTTTTGTTCGGTCTCCTCCACACAGCCACGTGCTGCTGGGGAGCCGATGGCCAGGCCCCTTCCCGGGGAGAGGGCATGCCTCCTCGCCGCGGAGCCACCTCAAGCCGGGTCTGTCGTTACCAGCAGCAAAAGCACCTGAACGGCTACACCTACGTGGCTCAGTTCTCAAGACCTCAGCCCAAGAGAGTTTCTGCTATTAATAAGTTGCAGCTAAATTTTTCCAGACGAGTATTTACAAAAAAACTCTTTATAGCTATTAAAAAACAAGAGAAAGAATCTGCTGTGGGGGCTTGCCTGGTTTAACGGTTCGGCAGTCAGGAAACGCCTCGACCGTTTCTGATACCCAGGTGCCCGGGATCTAGTGACAGTGGGGACATGCACTGATCCCGCCCTGGGCTGTGCGCTTCACGTGGATCACTGCTCACTTACTCCTGAAAGCAGGTCCACTTGACAGACGAGGAGAGTGAGGCCCAGGGAGGTGACCTAGCCACAGCCCCTGCCCTGGAGGTAGCCAGAGACACGGCAAATGTCAGCTTCAGGCCCAGAGCTCCAGACAGGGAAAGGGCTGGGTCACATGTCCCGGGAGCACAGATGAGGTCTTCCCCTGGCTCAGGTCCCAAGGAGCAGAGGCCTGAGCTACAGCATGTGGGGTCAGCCGGGTTCAGCCGGGGGCAGGGGTGGGGTCGGGAGGGGCGAGCGCAGCCTGGGCGAAGGCCCCGAGAGGGGCTGAAACAGCAGGTGTGTCTCCAGGGTCCGAAGCGATTTGGCTGGAGGGAGTGTGTGAGTGTATGTCCGTGCACATGTGCACACACACAAAGCCCCAGGCTGTCCAAACCCTGCACATTCCAAAGAAAGCACTGGCCCTTGCCTGGCTCCTGCGAGAGAACGTCCAAGCCCTGGGAGCGTCCTGCCTGATCAAGTGGGTCTTTACGGCGAGGCCCCGGGCCACGCGGTACTGGCCTGCCCTCCGGAGGGGGGTAAGACTGAACACGACGGTCATCACACAGGCGCTCCACGCTGGACGACCGCCCCCAGCAAAAACCCTGGACACCAAGGCTCAGGCGAGCTGCCCTGGGGGGCAGTACCACGTGTGTGTCGTCCACACTGCTGCTGGAGAATTAAGCGCCGTCCGTGAGTCCACTGGGAGAGACACTGAGGCTCCCGCCTGGCCTCTGCCCTCTGCCCCTTTCCCCTCGCTGATTCCAATCTCGATCCTTTTGCTGTGACTGCGACTCTAAGAGCTTTGCTGGGTTCTGAGTCCTTCTAGCGAACCCCGGAACCTAAGGGTGGTCTTGGGGACCCCTGACCACGATGTGCGTAGAGTGCCATGTAATGTAACAGGAGAAGTTGGTGAGAAATGACATGCTAATGGCTCAGACTTTGTTTTCAGGGAGCCACGGAAGGCCTTTGAGGGGCAGTGGGGACCAACCTAGCCAGATAACCGTGTGGGGGATGGAGTGGA